AGTTTAAGAGCTCTAAACTGAACTGACTGATAAGACGAGAGCTCTAAACTGACACTGAACTGACTGCCAAGCAATCAGTCAGTCAGTCAGTCTCATCAGTTTGGATTGATTGTTAGCAACTCTGATAACCATTCACGTGGGTGGAACGTCGGTTATCAATATCTCCAAGCGCGCTGCAATGGCTACTTCTTCTGTCCTTCACAAGCACTTCACCGCCAATCCTGAGTCGCTAGAATATCGTTTCTCGCGTGGTCAGGTTCATCCTGGCGCAGTCCGCTTTCTGCTCATTGACTGGATGCAGGAGACGTGCAATGAGTTTGAAGCCTATGCCATCCCAGCTCAGAAGACCTTTGGCGAGGACGTTGCTATCTTGTGCGCCGCTCGCTTGTTGGGCATGGAGCGTTATTGCCGTCATATCCTCACCGGCTATATTGGTTACCTTAAGACCCATCTTCCGAGTTACGAGGAGATCATTGCTATCGAACAGAACGCCACCTCTGATAAAGACCCGCTCTGGACTGCGATGATCAACCACCTCTGTCATGATCGCTACAAAGGTCTTATACCTGATGCTGAAGACTTCGAGGCGTTTCTGGAGAAGCACACTCGTCTGAAGAAGGCTATGGAGTCGGCTGATATCTTCTTCGCTGGATACGCGAAGAAGCGAGCCGAGGGCCGGGAGAAAGAGCGCCGCCAGCGCTGGGAGCAAAACCAGGCTGAGAAACGTCAGCGTATTGCAAGAGAGCAGCTTGCTGCTGAGTCATTGAAGAAGAAGCTTGACGAGAAGGGCTCCGGTCTCATGTCTGTCACGGCGGATGAGGCGGAGGTGCTACGAGGGCGCACTCGCACCCGTTAGAAGACCGCTGCGCCTGTCCCCTTGACTCACATTGATATTTAGTCAACATGGTTTCTTCAGATGTGGAATGGCGCCTATGTGTGCGAGACAAACATAGCTTTGCCCTGCGAGAACGCTGAGGTTGATGAGTATAGGCATGCGCAACGGACCTGGATTTGAGCATGTCTTTTCATCTTGGGTTTTACATGAGCGGTGTACCACTGCGCTGAGAAACATCGAGTAACAGACATGATCATACATGATGGATAGATATAAGTGTTGATCAAATCCAGTCTCCAAGCTTTCACATGAAAGAGTTATGCTAACACCTCTCCTGTCTTCTGAATGTCCCTGTTACCTTATGCCTCAAAAGTCGTCTGCCCAGTCATCACTGCTCGCCTCATCCCACTTTTGTTCTTCCTGCTTGGCCTTGCTATGGCCCACCCACCAGGTAGGCACTGTTACAGGCGGCTCACACTCTTTGCACCTGGCTTTTATGTACACCCTGCTGTCTATACCAGAAATTCCAGTGTTGAAGTAATGTGGCACAACGTCGATCATGTTGTTGCAATAGGCCTCTGCGCAAATGATTGTGTGAGCGCTAGTTGAAATGGATGGCCACGAATGGGACGTTTCAGGAGAAGGTGATGACGGAGATAATGATGGGCCTGACGAGCAGGTTTTGGTGATATGAATACCGTGTTGCGGGCTTCGACGGATGACGACGGCACTGTTCGGAGGGTAAGACATTTCACTCTCTTTGTGTGGATTGCTTTCTTGCTCCTTGATGAAATAGGTAGAAACTTTGACAAGGAGTAGGTTGAGTGGGGAGTAGAGTCGTATATGAAGTTGCTGATTGATTATGCCAACTTTGACAGTGATGATTGCGTGAAAAGAGCCAACAAGCAGCCCTAGAGAAGAACGTAGAGCGGAGCGACTAGAGAAGCGTTTAGAAGACATGAGAAACCTACCTCATCGCCTGCCTGATACCTATCGATTACACGGCCCACATACTCCGTTAGCAGTGACTCGCTCATCTTTTAGCAAGTCTCTCGCGCTCCATCTGTCCATGCGACCTAGCTCCATCATCATCGGAACGGGTACCATATTCTTTCTTGAGAGCTTGGTCTCCGGTATCGTTCTGAAGAATGATTGCTGCTCTGGTAGACTCGCTTGCCTCAGGGGCGATAGGTTACTTGCAGTTACTAGGCACGTAGCAGGAGATGTTTGTACATGAGAAAGAGTGACGAGGGTTAGGAATTGGCGGCCAATGGGAAAATGTAGGTTGCGTCTCAGACCATGATTGGTTGATAGGCAGAGCTCCTTCCGTCTGAGGTACAGCCCCGCCGGCTAAAGCTGGACCCGCTCTCCACTAGTTGTTTAGCATCATTTGCATCATCACAACACGTTACATCCTGCCTGCCATTGTGCTTCTCACCACTGTTAGTCATTTCCTACACTCTCCACTCGCGCTTGGTTCTTCATTGCCACCATGGTGTCTACGCGCTCACATCCCCAAGGCGACTTCCCCGCCACCGAACCTTCGCCCGTTAAGAAGGCGCCACGGTCGCGGACTTCGACTGCGTCCCCGGCACCCATATCTTCCCCGGACCTTGACTCCCCACCATCGGCAAAGTCGCTTGCCAGACGCGCAGTTTCCAATGCCAAAACCGAGATCAGCCCTCCCTCTCCATCCGAGATCGACGAGCCGGCCTGGTGCCACACAGCGTCAAATCTCACTATAGTGTGGCTCGCCATATCCATGCCTCTCGTGCTATGGGACTCCCTGTACATCCTTTTGCGCCCGCACACTATGGCTGGCGGTGCACTTCAGTGGCCAATCTGGAAACCGTATGAAATCTATGCCTCGATTGATCACGTATACGGATGGCCCGGGTGGGAAAACAACGATGGATTTGGTGGCGCGCAAGGCTTTCTGAACGCTATCGAACTCGTGCTGTATGGACTTTATGCCATGATCATCTATAACCATGGTGTGCCCACGACTGGAGGCACTGGGCTGCAACTCAGTGAGGGCGTAAGCAAGTTCCTTGCCGGAGGCCGGAAGGTACGCGGGAAGAATGGGAATCGCGCGCTGATTATCGGCTTCGCTGCTGCGGTTATGACTCTCAGCAAGACAGTACTATATTGTGCGTATTCATGCAGCACATAGCCAAAGCACAGGCTAACAATTGTAGACTTCAACGAGTATTTCTCTGGCTTCGCAAATGTCGGCCATAACGACTGGGCTACGCTGCTGTTCTTCTACGGTATCATGAAGTGAGTCGAACTGTTTTTCCGCCTGCGCTTAGCGTCTGAAGTGACAGGAACGCTGATTCGTTCCGCAGTGGTCTTTGGGTAATTTTCCCAGCATATATGACTGTCGTCTTCGGTACCGATATCCTCCAGGCGCTCGACATTGCAACTGAGTCTTCGTCCAAGAAGCGTTATTAGCTTGAATCTTGAGGAAGCTGTTCACACATACCAACGCTTCAAAGTTTGGTGCCAACTTACAACAATGCCCAAATATTCAATCAAGACGAGTTTGCGTCCTTCCGGTGCCCGCGAAGGCGTCGAATAGCTGTACGAAACAGTCCTCTCAAACGTTCCAAGATACTGCCGTGCGAGTCCCCAGCGGCCTCGGCATCGTCCTGCATGGGTGATGGCGGCTTTATAGAAGCTAGGTTCAGTGGACTATGCAATTAACAACGCGATACCACTCACCAGCACTACTCCTCCTCCATTAATATCACGCTTCAACTCAAGAACGACAAATTCCGAGTGCCAGTCGTCTGGTGGCAGGCTTGCCGATATTCGCTGCGCATCGGCGGTTAGATGGTCAAGCATGTATGGTGCTTGTACTATCATTGGCGCCATAGGCATTAGTGGTGGTTTACTTTTGACGCGCTGAGTAGCTCCAAGGGGTGTCAGCCGAGTAGAGGGTTGAGTGTGAAATAGGTGTACAAGGGTGCATCACGGATCCGCCGGCCGGAAGTCGCATTCACTGTTTGATCGCGATACGTTCACTTTCACAAGCATTTAAGATATTGCCATACGCTTATTACTACAATACCATAGGCCTCAAATCGTTTGAGGCATCGAACTAATGGCCGCTTCATTACTCATTCTTGTCACTTGCATCCTGTATTCAGAAACCTTCAATCGCTCCCTCGCATTGACACGGAGTCAAGACGAACGTCTTCAAACTTTCGGTGAGCCCTTACATCACATTGCATCCCACTCCCAATCCGCAAGCCCTATCTTTTCTCTTCTTTTGACTACTCTCTGCCTCCAAGATTGCAGCCCTTCGATCGTCTCCCGCACGCTGCTCACTCACTACCCTGCGTCGCTCATCCAGATCGGCCATGCTCATCGCTTTAGCAAACGGACCTTCGTCATCCTCGACAAGCGCCTTTTTTCTCTCCATCTCGTCTCTTCCAGGCGTACTGAACACAGATTGCTTGCTGGACGCTGTGCCCCCAGAGAGGTGGGAGTCCTCGGATATGGATACCTGTCGCTGCACATTGGAGGCCGGCCCTATTACATTGTCCCGCAAAGGTGCATCCACGGCGTGCTGTCGCGGTGCTAGATGCATTCGTGGGTGAATACCGTGCTCCCGTTCTGGTCGCTGCATCGCCGCACCGTCATTTGTTGACGACACATAGCCAGGCTGAGACATGAGTGGCCTTCTCTCCATTGGCCTTGCTCTTGTCTCCATAGCTTCGCGCATCTTCTTACGTTCGGCATGAGCGTAAAACTCTCTGAGCGTCTCTTCTTCTCTAGAATACGTTTGCGGATGAACGATATCGAAATATCTAGAATGATAGGGTGATTGATTGTCGAACGATTCGAAAAACTCGAGCTTTGGTGTTGGGTTTGAGATAGTAGAAGTGAGAATGGGAGGATTTGATCTCGACTTTGGTTTAGAAGAGCGTTTGGAGTTGGGGCAAGGCGTTGGGTTGCCGAGTGGGAGATATGCCGAGCGCTTCTGGGAATTTGTCATAGGAGTGGGTGTATCTGGGCAATCCCAATTTGCGTCGCTGTCGCTCTCGACTTGAACCTGCTTTTGATGTGGACTCGCACCCTGTTCTCGATCGTGGCCATGTGATGGCGACAGGCGATGCAAGGATAGCTCCGTTGGTGTGCTATACGGCCGCTTCTTGGGACTACTCAACCTCGAAGTGCGCTTCACTGGCGATTGCCTTTCCATTACACTGCCACCTCTTTTGGTAGTCACGTTGGCAGTGATATCTGCAGGAGAGCTGCCGAAGTTGCCGTTTTCCGCGGTTGCGACATAGTTTGTAAATTCTGTCTCTTGTTCGCCGAAACCATACATGTATGTTTGATTAAAACCATCACTCTTAGGCCGCTCTCTTGCACTCTCAGGTGTAATTTGGTGATCGAAATTCGGCGTGCCAGTGCTTGCTAGATCCAGTCGCAGTGCGTCACTCAAATTCGGCGGCGGTGATGGAGAGATCGCGCGAATCGTAGAGCGTGCTGTTGATGGACGAGTAGGGCTTGGAGGTCCTGAAGTAGGCGGACGCGGGCGAAAATGTGTTGACATTGTCGCGATCAACAATTGTGGTGTTGTTGACGAAGATGCGGGTGGTTGCTGTGAGGATACGGACGGGACCCAAAAGAATGACATGCAGGGCAAAGCCGATCAACGGGGCTCTCCGAACTTGTTGCCACCCAGGATGGAAAGGCAAACGCGGTATTCTGAAGAAGCGAAAGTGAGTGTAAATAAGTGACGCGCTAAGAGTGTTTGTAAAATACTGTTCAATGGTATGAAGGCGAGATACTCGCGGTTTGCGAAAGCAAACCAACCTCACTTACCGACCAATACCACAGTACTACTACAAGCTTTACATCGGTGCGCTCAGAAAATCCAGAATAGAACTCGCAAACGATGCGACAAAATTGTTCCAGCGATAAGCCAGGTGTTGTTGTTGTTGTCGCACAAGTACGTCATTGTTGTTGTCTAAGACAAACGACTATACAGTCAAACTTCAAGACAAAGAAAGGTTTAAGGGATATAAGGACTACTTTACCCGTAGATAGAGCATTACAACGTATCTCAATACACTTCAGTTAGTCCATAATTCAACAATTGTGTAGCCTTTGCGGTACATGTGCCGAAGTGCTACAGCATAACGATCCGATCACCATAGCGAAAACTTCATACTCAGTAAAACCATAGCTTTCCAAATAAGATTACTGAATTCTGGTTTTTCTACCATGTTCCGAACTATATCACTCAATCAAACCATTCTTCCGTGTAACGCGACCACCTCTGCTGCCGCCATTCCAGTCTATCATTTCTTCGCATGTAAAACAGCCAAATACTTTATCCTTACCTCTTCCCCTGAATCACTGACATCATCTGAACTATCCGCTGAATCACTGTCGGTCTCGTCGTCGCTATTTCCAGGACTTAAATTTTTGTCGTTGTTGTCTTCCTCTCCATCGCTCGAAACATCCGAAGAGCATTGGTCTGTATCCGTGTGGATTTTAGCATCGTTCCTAATGACATTTTCGCCGCAGGTATCTCTTTCGTCTTCATCATCACTACTCTCGCTGTAGTACTCAGGAACAGTAGCTAAGGTGTGCGCATGATGATCCTCCCGGTTTGGAACCTCGGTTACTTGGACGGCATCGTGGGCTTCTTCCCTTCCAAATGCTAGTAATTCCCGACACGCCGTTGGCTCGTCGCGTACTTCCGCTGCCTTGGAAACACCAGTTCGAACAGGTACAGGACACACCACAGTCTCCCTCCATAGCCCAGGTTCCTGAATTTCTCCGTTCGCACTACTCCTGTTATTTGTATTCAAGCGGTCCTTGTGCTCATGGCTGTGCTTCGACGTGTCTTGACTCTCGAGCTTCTCTAGCGTCAGTGCAGCTTTATCAGTCCATTTGCCGATAGTCCGAAGTGCGACGATTCCAATTTTGATGTTGCGCTTGTCTTTAATGTTAAGATTGTTACGGGTCTTTACTGGAGCTGTGGCTTCTGAAGTCTTGGAAGTCATGTTGTTGGCCGAGTGTCGAAGAAAGGGGACAGAATCGGAGCGCAGCTTGAGTTTCTGTGAAAGATGCATTCTATAAAGAATTTTACGAACAGACTTTCGATAGATCTAACAAGGCTTGTTCTACAAGCACCAGGCGCGGTTGATGAGGTATCGTGGTAGTGGTTAAGACAGCTGGACTCAATAGCATTTATGAGGTGGCGACACCGCTGACTTTATATGAGGCCGTATTAGATAGACGTGCGCTGTGTTTGTAGCACTGATTGGTGATGCTATTGAACTTCCCAGGCTGTGACATCCGATCGTATGAACTCCCTGACTTCCAATGTGTAGATCACAGAGTCCTGAGGTGTAGAACCATATCTACAAATCTCATCGATAGCCATGAAGCTTTCTCATGGATCTGATACCGATCACATCATAACACAGCAACACCACCTCGGATCACCTAATCCATCGTCTCTGTTGAATTCCATGTCGGGATACACGCCAAGTATCTGTTCTCTGTACTGTTCTACCTCCCTTGAAGGAACCTTGCCAACGCTGTCAGAAGATATTGACTTCTGATACATCGACGCGCTGTCCGCTGTCAAACGATTCAATTGAACGTTGGTGCGCTCTCTTGCGTCCCCGCGTTGTCGACGTTGGATCTCGAGATCTTCGTAGGAGCCCCAAGGCGGCGGTCTAGGACCATTCTGAATGTCGCTTGACGAGTGAAACGATGGCGCAGGATTTGCGAGGGAATGTACTGGTTGGAGGGAGCTATCTCGCTGCTGGGAGATCAGAGACGGCAGGGCCAATTTGTGGGAAGGCAGCCGTCCGGATTTGTATCCCTGGCTTGCGTGTTCGTCTTGGGTTTGTTGCAGTGCTCTCACATCATTATCTATATCTTCCCAGTGGCCACGAGATACATGCTGCTTGGCGCTGGGACGATTTTGGGCGTAATCGCTGGAAATACTGCGTTCCCACAAATTTCGACTCGACTCGCACACGGTGGCGACATACGGATGTCCAGTCGAGCTCAGAGGTGTGATCTTTCCCTCTGGTGCAGTGCCTCGACTCCATAGGCATGGTACAGGTGGGTCCGGCAGTGATCGACGTGGTATAAGATACTCAGCTGACTTCCATCGTGGCAAAGTTTCGGTGTTGGAGCTGCTGAGCTTCGAGAAAGGTATGATTTTTTTGCGTATGAAACTGTTCATACACTTCTTTGTATGCCTCCTTGTTCCACGTGTCATCTTGTTGATTAGGTACGGATCTCAACGAGCCCGTTTCTAGTGGGAGCGGTGGCAACGGGCGCTGATGTGTTCCCATACGATTCCCATGCTCCATTGGTCTGCGTGAAACGGACCTAGTGTCTGTTCTGGTGGAAGGTTCCAATTGTCGCAGCTGTGCATGTGATGGTGGCTGGTCGTACGCGACCACTTCGGATGAAGCTAACGAGTGGCTGCCGCGTGGACTGACAGCTCGTGTAATGTGATTTGGATCCTTTCCCGATCCTGTACGCTCACACAATAGTTTTCCGTTGGGCGGAGATGTTTGTCTTTTGCTATACTGTTCCACCTTGCTTAATGTTACAGATTCGACATATTGCTCAGGACTGCTTGCCGCAGCTTGAATGCGAGAGTTGTTTTGCTCGAATCTTTCAGTGTCCGTAAAGTGTGCCCTGTCAGCGGCCGGCCACAAGGGTGGCGCGGATGCGCAAAAGGGTTCCTGAACAAGAGGGTCCGGACTTGGAGGGCGTGAAGAAGCTTCCGTTACGCAGTAGGCCTGATAGGGCCGCCTAAAGGGTGTATCGTAGAACGAGAATAACGTCTCGCTAGGCGCATTTTCAGGAATATCAGAGAGCATGAGATGACAGTTGTCAGTGATTCCGGCGGTCCCCAGATGTCGAAGGTTTGCGCAAGGTCAGTTTCGAGGGTGAAGGAGGTATCAATAGTAGGGCATCGAGAAGGAGTGATACAGTACACTTAAAGTCGACTGTACACTGTTTGTTACTGGAGCGCATCGTCCCTTTAGGTGTTCCACAAAAGGTTTCCACAAAAGGTCAATATTCTTACTGTTGGCTATAACGTCATCGCACCAAGCACGCACCTTGTGATCGAGGCAATACAAGAAACGGCAGTGGAGGAGGGTCACATAGTCCGTGCACAGACCCTAAACGCCCACTGCAGAGTAGCAGTCTTGTGCACCTTTTCTCAGACCTTGCTCAAATAGCCAAGTGAAGCCTCCTCTATACCCACTTTCTCTAATCCGCTTAAGGATCCATATCTCGAACATGCCAATTTTGTCGCCTTGTGTTCCTCTGCCCTCAAAGAAGCCGAGAGCGTCTTGATAACCAACCCGCCAGCCGTATTCGTACTTTTCGTGCTCATAGTGACCATTGGGATCCACGCCGCGCCAATAGGACACGTGCTGTTGAATCGCCTCATGCATACGCCCGTCCTTCTCGTGTCTAGCTTTTTCGGTCATCCGGAGTCTGTCATCAGCGGTCGTTTTTGTGTACTGGGGTGGCACAATACTCCCATCTTCTGTTTTAGCTTTAAACCCCCACTCGCCGCCAGGCATCCAATCCATTTTCCAGGTCCAAAAGAAACTGCCGCCAGCTTTCTCTTGGTACCTTCTGCTCTGCGCTTGACCAAATTGTCGTACGAGCTCCTCCTTGGGGACTCCGCCGCCCTTGGCCCAAGAGTCTTCAGTCATAACGCAGGAGTATTCGCCAACAATAACCTGTACTGCACCACGATCATGCACAGAGCCTTCTTTACCATCCAACTGTTCTAGCTTGGTGCCGGCTTCCCCGATGATCTGCTGTGGTGTCTTCGCTTTGTCTTGGTCTGTAAAAGCCCAATAATAGTGCGTGTCAACCACCACTGGGCATTGCGGATGCGAGTATATGGAGTTCTTCTGCAAAGACCAATCTACCGCTTTGCCTAGGTTCCAGCCATCAGATATTATGATAGGAATTCCGGGGTCTATGGCGGACACGGCGGCTATACACTCGTCATACCACTCGTACATGCGCTCTGATTCCCATTCAGCCTCGTTGACGAGTTGGAGACCAGCAATCTCAGCTCCCGCTTTGGTATCTTCTGCAATGAACTGGCAGCAGCGAACACCTAACGCACGGTTACTGGGATTGGTCCATAGCTCGGCACGCCCACTGTTAGTGCCTGAGTGTTCCTGCGCGTTTCCGCCCCCTGGTAGTGCATGCAGATCAACCAGAACGCCGATTGAACGTGCGCGCAGACGTTGGATTAGGGTGCGAATACTGTCCCATGCTCCTGTGTAGATTTCAGCATAGGGCTCGAAAGGTGTTCCCTGGGTGAAGACGGCGCCTGGGAGGTCGTAGTAGCCGATGGGCAGGCGGACAGTTGTACATTTGGCCACATTAGCAAGCCATCCAATGGCGTTATCGTGTATAATATTGGCCCAGTGCTCCTCGAACTTTTGCTTCGTCTCAGCGACACCAACCCTGTCCACCCAGGCTTGCACTGCTGCAAGCTCGCTTGATCCCTCAGCACCATCAGGAAATCGAGAACCCTGAAGCCATCGTTCAATAACGTAAACAGATCCAAGATTGGTTCCATGGTGATAGCGATAGCGAAGAACATCCAGCGTTGTCGGGTCGCTGATACCATGGTGTTGATCATGGCCATGGTCGTGACCGAAGCCACCTTGCTGATGAGCTGGGGAAAAGTGCTGTTGATGTTGTGCTTGTTGGTTTCCACCAAAATGGGAGTTACCAGACTCGTCACGTTGAGAGAAGCCTTTGAGCTCCGCCTTGGCTTTTTGAAGGAATCCCTTCATCGTGAATGCGCTGATCTCATTTAGTGTGCTGGTGAGGGTATGCATTGACCAAAGAACATACCAACTGATGTTGAAGAGAATGACTCATGTAGCAGAACTCGAGTGATGTCTTGGGTCTCAGGTCTGAGCGTATCCTTTGTCGTGATGGTTGTGAGCCGAATGTTGGGTGCAGTTTAGTAGGTGTGCCTCAGCCGTGGTGGAGCCGCGGTGGAGCCGCGTAACCACGCATTTACATCTTTGTGATGACGTAAAGCAAGGAACTGGAGATCCGGTAGGTAGGCAAGTGCGTCCGGCATGCATGCAGGTGCGTGCACGAATTGTGGCTGCATCTTATCGTGCTATCTTATCTGTGGGCCAATTACCCAGCTTGCCTCGGTACCTGGGCTAATTCGAGCGTGCTCGCGCTCAGGACGCGTCTGCTACGATCATCGTATATCGGTCGCCATGAGTTGAGAGAGAGAGAGAGAGAGAGAGAGAGAGAGAGAGTTGGTCAATTGACGCGTAAATGCCTAACCTGTGCACTAGTTGGATGTATTGATAGCGGCCTTCATACTGGGGCGTCACAGCTTGCGGCAACGGCAACTGTGCAAGGTGCAATAGCAAACAGCCGCAGTGTGTCTCTCGGAAGGCTCACCGTGTTTACTGCCGATTCAGAGCACGATGAGGGTAGAGGACAATGTACACAACTAGACGCGGAGTAGAGTTGAAGTACCTGCGGACTGTCCTGACTTTTCGCTCTACTAGTCGAGGCGCCATCCCGCCATTTCGCCAAGCTGGACCCTGACATGCCACCCAATCGCGTCGGCTGGCGCCTGTAATGCGACTTCCCCAACCACGACGCGACTGCTCTCACGCATCTTCCACAACTCCAATTCTGTTTTCATATCTTTCTCTTGAAGTTTTAAAGGAGCTGAAAAGACTCACTGCCATTCTGTTACTAGTCTTCTGTCCGTAAATCAACAGTGCACCCCTGCGCGTCGTTCGTCCCCATCTCAACGCGTCGCAACAGCCGACAAGCCGCAGAGACAACATGAGCGCCACAACACCACAGAGACCAAATATGGCTTCTCAACATACTCCCTCCAAGACGCCCTCGCGACGCGTGCTTGGCGATCTCACCTCCAAAGCCATCAATACACCCTCTACCCCAAAGGCCTACGATCCAGCTGAAGTCGCTCGCGCCCAAAGCCCACTAAAGCAAGTCACGACGCACACTCCAACGAACCCTACCGGCAAGGAAAATCTCATGACTCCCCAGACGAATTCAAATAGCAAGAAGAGGGGCATAGAAGAAGTTGAAGGTGTTGAATCTATCGAGAGCGTAAAGATGCTCGCTCGTGCCTGCGACGAGAGTCTTTCCAGCACCGGCACGCGCCTAACCACCGACGCTGTCCAGAAACATACGGTAGATGATACATCGTGCCCTGCACCTTCTCGCGCCACTAACAACTGCAAGGAGAACAATCCCATCGGCCTCGCGGACCCAGGATCACCCACCGAACGCGCCACACCAACACCATCGCCCGAACCAGAGCCAATGCAAGCTTCTCAGAAGAGCAACCAGTCATTTTCTGACCTTCTCAACTATGATTTGTGCGCCAGCCAAAAGAGTGAACACGGAGAACGTGTAGCGATGCCGGCCGCTGCCCCCGCGCCGGCAGTCGCAGAAGGAAAGAGGAGGTCGCGTGCCGAACAATTGCGAACGCGCCTCAAGTTTGGCCTGTACAAGATCAAGACGAACCAGGTCACTAAGCGCGACGCGGATATCATCGGGCCTTACGAAGCCCGTGCCTCTTACTCGTCAGACGCGCTCAACGCGTCGAGATCAACAGCCATGACGTCTTCCGGCGAGTCTTTGGGCGCTTACCGCGTACCGAACATTACTGTATCATCCCCGCGACGCGATCAAGGACCTGTTTTTGTGCAAGCAAATCTGGATCCCTTCCATCCTATAAGTAAACTTGGTCCTGCACCAGTTCAGTTCGCAATCCCACAAGGCAATATGCCAGCATCATCACGTATGATACCCGGATACGTCCTTTCCTCCTCACCACCCGGGCCTCAGCTGCCCCATTCTGTAGCTCCTGATCAGCTCTCCTCACCCATCCGAGCCAGGAGTTACTACGAGCCGCCATCTGAGTCCAGGATACGAATAGGTGAACACGACGCGGATCGCATCAACCTGCGGGAAGAAGACCCGCATTATAGACTCCAAAGACTCAAGCAACAACAGTATAGCTTGGCTCGCAGTGTCGGCGGTGTAAAGGGTGATGCGGCGGAAGGCCTGCTACAGCTTATGCAAGACTCGCGGTAGATATCTCAAGTACAATCAACAACGCATATTCGCTCCCGTTGTTGTATTAGCAACGATTGAAATTGCCAGACTACAACGTATCCTCTCCTTGCGAAATCTTGGTTTATCCAATTACCATCTTGTTTTCCGTGCTAGCAATACTGATTGTGAGCCCGTGTACGACAGATGTCGGTCAATCAAGTCACGACCAGGAGCGTCATAGAAAGTTGATTTGAGGAGGTGAGTTTGATTTCATTACAAAGTGCGGGTAGTATCGTTTTGTCTTTCCGCACGTGGGTCGTCAGATCGTGACTCCTGTTTCACATCTGCAGGCTGACCCTCTACCACCTTTGCATCAGCCTCCATATCCTCTTCAACCTTAATATCGTCCTTATGGTGAGGATGCTGCCCAAAAGGCTCAAGAACACCATTTGCCAGTTCAACGTTTTCGTGGGCAGCTTGAGATTCACTAGCCGACATCTCGCTCCGCTTCGCCTTGCGTTCACTATTCCCATACCGTGGGCGAAGCTGTCTAGACACAGGCAGTGTCTGCATGCTGGCATCGGTAATCAGGTCTACCATATCCAAACAGTTTTCCACAAAAGCTTTGACGGTGACTTCATTGCGCAATTCTCTATCGCCATGGCCGTTGTAATGTGCCGTGAGTACACCGCCCTTTGCGCCAAATTTGCCAGACTGCACTGTGCTATATGAGATATCTTCACCGAACAAGTTTCCGGTGACAGATTGCCGAAATTGGACACCAGAGAAGTGGTATGTGACATTGCGTGTCCCCTTTTCCTCACTCGAAACTCCTGGTATAGTCCACTCGGGAATTTCGATGCGAAGGGGTGGAGCGGTGAGGCGGCCGCCACTCTCAATGTTCTCTACCACAGCATAGACCCATGCCTGTACGTCCTCGTCGTTGTGGTCCTTGACGCTGAAGTGCAGACTTCCACGGCGATAGAATCGTACATCTGATGCTCTATCAGGGAGCAGAACATCGTGGACGTGTTGCTGGAAGCTGAGTGTCATTTTGTGAAGAGTTGCTCTGGCGCCACTCCGGCCGGTACGCATCTGTACGTTGAGACTGGGGAACAATTGGCCAGACGCGTTCGAGAGATCAGGTCTGAATTGGTAGTGTAAAGATGGCGTTTGCAAGCGCGCAGTAGCTGTCAGATTGGGTGAGGCAAGGAGGTTATTTAAGCCAGGGATTGTCGGCAGAAAAGGCGACTGAGATGGTTGGGCGAGCGCTGCTTCTACTACTCGTTTGGAGTCTGCATCTTTCAGGGGAAACAATACCTGACCAAATTCAGCAGAGAGCTTATATGTCGGTTCCGGGATCCAATGGTTAAGCTCATGTGTAGGCAGTGACACATCAGAGGCAGATCGTAGTACGGTCGCCGTAGTGCGATTCACTAGAGCGTGCAATGCTGTCTTCGGGGCTTTCGCAAGTTTCTCGGCCTCAGAATCAACATATTCAGGTTCCGTGAGGCGTACGATAGGTATCGATAGACGTCCTAAATCTCCTCTGCGGTACTTGTACTCTACAGAACTGTCTGCTGGGAACACTGGCAATAAGAATGCTGCGCTATCGTCATTTCCCAATTGCTGCGTATCAAAAGTACGTGTAACTGGCTCTTCGAAAGGCAGGAAGCGGATCAGTGTTCGTTTCGCTTCGTCTATAGAGTTCTTGTCGAAGCCTCTGATCGTTAACTGCAGGAATCAGCTACGTTCAGAACGTTCTACAAAGCCCGGGCATACCATGGTCTTGCCGACAGCTTCGATACTCGTACGAGTCAGCATCGAGACAATATCGAAGTCTTTCTGTGTATAGAACAACGAAACCAAATTTGGTTTGGGGTTCGATGTAACATCGATGTTGGCACTCTGATGCAGATAGCTGCTCAAGTTCATCCCCTTCATCTCCGTGCGTTGAAGAGCTTCTTCGATATCGTCGGCAGCGTACTCGGCTGTGGTCTTATCTGCTGTGATGCGAAGGATGCCGTGCTGTTTGTATACATCGAGTCTTGCTCGCCGGGTCCGTCGAATCTTGTCCAACAGTGTTTCCTTTTCTGCAGCCATGTCAGCGAATTTCATGATGACATGTGCTAATGTACGTACCGCCAGCCTTCAGGAGCGCCAACTGCCATGATTGCAGGGAAAGCTCAAGCTCTCCAGGCGACTCTATCTCTTCCAAGAGCATGAGATTCCAGACGTCCCTCAGTATGCGATCAACGAGCAGCTGTTTGCTGACATTTTTACGGTAACGTTTGATTTTGACATGACGATCGACGCCAGGCAAGCGCTGGGTGATATCCGTGGTACCAGGCTGCCACTCAGAGCGCTCTACAGACCGATCCTGGTCTCCTGATCCTGGCTTCTGTTTGATGCTGTTTATGACACCCTGTTTCACTTTCTCTTTCCGTATGTTCTTAGCGACCGAATAGAATGCTATTAACTGCTGATGTGTGAAACCATTCATGAGTGTTTTCCTAAGCTTGACAAAGGTCGTTTGCTTGACATAATGCGGCTCATCGAGGCCGCTATCATTTTTCGGCCGCAAGGTTTCGATCTGCTCGTATATCTCTTCCGGCGTGACGGCCTTCCCTTCCTCCTGCAGCGAGGCGACTATGTCTGGGATTTCAGGAGCTTCGGAGGATACGGTCTTTTCAGGCTCTTCAGGGTTTTCGGCGGCTTTCTCTGGTGTCAGTTCTGCGATTTCCCTCAGAACCAAAATATCGGCATCGTCGCCCAATCGCTTCACGCCCAAATTTGCTGTCTCTCGTATGACTCTACCCCCCTTCTTTCTCCTTAGTCGGTTCAAGGGCGTCACTTCTCTTGTGATCTTCAGCTTTGGTTGTTGCGCCTGCGACGGCACCGCCAGCTCTTCGGCATCATCGTGGCGGCGAGTAGATGCGGAAAACTTGGCGTGGGATCGTGGACGAGCAAAGGCAGGAAGTCGCCGCCGGGTAATTTGCGCTTCACATCGGAGGCACACAAATGCACTAGGGGTACGGGGCGCAAGCATGAAGGAGTTCGGCGTGGTGAAGACGTGCAATAGTGATGGTTGTAACGGGTTTGGAAAGTGCAATGCGTGCATCAACTTTCGTGACCGCCCAATTCTGCCATCGCGCTTTCACGTGCGAGGCGCGTCATAATACGTTGCGTCACCTCAAAGTTAGATATTAGGTGCTGGGATTTGTGTCTACAGTGCTACATTGGGACTTCTTAGGCTGGACGATGCCAGCTGACTAGGTCTTCTCGCAAATCAAATTCATCCACCTCGTGGTGTGGACGATGTCGTTTTCGCGCAGCCTCCGCCTTCATCTGCGATGCCTGCTGCTCCAGACTTCCTCTGCCCCGCACGTTGGGTGAGTGACTTGAGTTTGTGTCTCCAGGGCGCAGTGTCTCATGCGACTTGCGATGAGAGCTGCTGCTGCCGCGCATGTGTCTGGGCTCGCTCTCGCTCACAGAGCTGCTGCTATCACCCGCTGCGAACCGTAAGGGCTGGGCTCGCGGCTGCTGAGAGTATGGTTTCTCGCGATCGCCCCATCCATCTCCTCCTGCAAAAATGTCCTCGATGCATTCGTCTGCCTTGAGCTCACCGGGTTGTGCGGACCAATATGCGGCGAGCGTACGTCGATACATGTCTTGGAGTTCGCCGGCTTCGCGTGACTTACTCGTCAATGAGGGCGCAACTGTGGATATGAGTACAAGCTCGTGGTTGAGTCGGGTGCGCCTTACCTCCGTGATCCTCAAGCTCGGCCTGCTCTCCTGCCATGATACCAGCGATACCACTAAAAACTTGCGCCGTCTTTAGGGCAGGCGCAATGAAGTTCTTGTCGCCTTCCGTCTGCTTCATGTATATCCCGAGCTTGAGCGTGCTGTTGATCTTGCTGTCTTGCATAAGGTATCTCCGTGTGACGCCTGGCTCCTCACCCGCCATGGCCGCCATCTCGCTCTGCTCAACGTACTCGGCGAGATTGAGCTTAATGGTTCCCAGTGTGATGCGTTCGCCTCTTCCCGAGCCTCTGCCGTATTCTTGCACGACCTCGAACTCGATGCAACACTCCTGTAGCATGCCATTCTTGTCAACAGTAAGGCGGACAGGGAGGGTGATGTCGTAGTTGTAAGCGACTTTGTGGTCCTTGACCTGGCAGTTGGCTGTGCGGCCGCGATGCTCGGCGGCTGTCGAATGCGAGAGGTGCCATTTTATAAACGATGTGCCAGATACGAGTGGTACGTTGTTCAGGTCGATTATCTGGCGTCGTCAACATAGCATCCTACGCCTTGGTACGGGCAGCTCACTCTTAGGTGTAGGTCAAACTTTGGCTGCGCAGATGTCAGCCCATGCAGCTTCCGTGTACTAGCTCTGTCTTACTCGTCGGTTCTTGGGTACTGCAATCGTGAGTGTTTGAGTCGCAAATGCGACGGTGCGGCGCATGGCCATTGCTCACCAAACGCTTGCATGTTGAGGAGAGAGGACTAAAACCAAGGCGGTACGTGGAGGTGAAGGCAGCCCGGGTCTTACTCGTACTGAGCGTGTGACAGGGTTCTTTGTGATTGAGTAGCAGGAGCGATGCTTTGCGACCGCGAAGGTAACAATGGACCCTGGCTCTGCCTGGCTCCCCGGATCATCCGAGCCCTAACTCCGCCCTCACTCTTTCCACCCACAACTTGCACTCGCTGCCATGCCCCCAGATGCAAATGCCATCGCAGACTGCGTGTTACGGGCCTTTGCTCAGCTACCTGAAAAGAGGAAGCCGAGACCCCGCCACGATGGCGCGAGGGAATGGGTGCCCCTCGCCGGAATCGTCTTATCTAAAGGTAATCGCTCACTTGCATCCGGAAGGAGCTTTACTTGCTTATGCTCATGACTTGGTGAAGGCCAAAGCCTGTCATGTGTATCTTTAGGGTGAGCCATTTCCATCACCCGACCTCCAAGGGTGCTTTCTCAAAAACGGGCATCGTGTAGTCCAATAGCTCGCCGGGTGAGGTATTAGCCATACAGGTCAGACAGGGCGCATGAGATTGATCCAATTGACCCTGAGCAAGCTAGCTATTGCATAGAATCTGCTCGTAGACGAGATTAGCGACTATGGACATGCACTGAACCTTTTCCAGCACTGGCATGAAATGTCTCCCTGCCAACAAACTACCCGTCGCACACGGTAACATCCTCCACGACTGGCACGCCGAAGTCATCGCCATTCGAGCCTTCAACCGTCACCTCTTGGACGAATGCACTCTCATATCAACGCCACCTTATCCAACGTCCGGCCTTCTTCGAAAAGTATCACCTGACGAACAAACCAGAGACCTACAGCAGCCTTTCACAATCCGAGAGGATGTATCCTTTCACATGTACTGCTCTGAAGCACCCTGTGGAGACGCAAGCATGGAGCTCACTATGGCTGCGCAAGAAGATGCAACGCCGTGGACCAGTACGCCGCCAACTCTTTCCTCCACACCACATTCCGGTGATGAAGGAGAGGCTTCAGCACTCCGAGGGCGATCCAACTTCTCTCTTTTGGGCGTCGTTCGCGCGAAGCCTTCGCGACCAGATGCGCCGCCTACGCTGAGCAAATCCTGCACAGACAAGCTTGCAGTGAAACAAGCCACCTCCTTGCTCTCATCAACATCATCTCTATTCGTTAGTCCCCAGAACGCTTACCTGGAAACCTTGGTGCTGCCAGACTCCCAGTACATACCACAAGCATGTGAACGCGCCTTCTCTTCGTCCGGTCGCCTCAGGTGTCTTGACTCGAATGAGTGGAAAGGCGGCTACCGCTTCCAGCCCTTCACCATCCTTCCCACAGATCGAGAGTTTACTTGGTCACGCCGCGCACTATCCGCTACCGAAAAAGCGGTGCCTAGTAACATATCTGCGGTGTGGACACCGACTTGGCAGGAGACTCTGATTGGCGGCGTAATGCAGGGCCGGAAGCAATTAGACCCTCGAGGAGCAAGTAAGATATGCCGAAGGGGATTGTGGCTAGAAGGCCTGCGCTTGGCGGGAGTACTAGGTGGAACAGTGGTGACGAGTGGGGCACTACGCAAGAGGAAGTATGCGGAGATGAAAGGATCTGAAGAGCTCATCGAGAGGACCAAGGCTAAAGAAGACATACGCAAAGCCTTGAAGGGATGGGTAAGAAACACTGGTGACGACGACTTCTCCATCGAACCCTCACTATCAACACCCTAGACTTGTGTTCTTGTGTATTGAATCCATCTCAAACATCTCGGATTCCATCTTTTCCTTCGCGAAACGTACCCCACGCTCCACTCCTCCCTTCCCACCGATCGCTCACTATCTCCAACACACCCACCATCTCAACGCCTCTCTTCTGTCCTGATCTCTCGGTATCACTGTAGTGAACTCTCGCATCCAGTGACCGTCTTGGTATCCGACTCACTAATATCTCCATGTCTGTATACCTTCCTAGGAGATCCATCAAACCAGGTACAGCGTCATTGCTCGCGAAGATGGAAGGCGGGAGAGGCGGGTTCCAACGTTGTTGCTGGGGCAGAGGACCTAGTTGATTCTGTGGTGCAAAGCGTTTCGGTGAGGAAGCGCGGGGAGGATGAGCCGGGTTTATGAGGAGGGTATGGAGTGAATGAGACCTTGTTAAGTCTGTGAGAGTGGTGCATAAAGAGGCTGCCATGTTATTCGCTGGGAGCTAGTCAGCGTTCCTGTTCTTAATGAAAATGTGATTGTGACCAAATACCTCGGATGTAATCGGTTTTCAACAATGGGTTGAAGACATGGGCAAAACTGTCGACTAGCATGAATTTGATGTAGCCTCGCTTTGCTTCCGCGTGCGTGATTCCTAGCGTTCCCACTGGCTCGAGTAGTCGTGCCTCCGCTCCTTCTTGGTCTTTTGCTGGTTGTGCTGCTGCAGTAACGATAGATTCTGAATCGAACAACATCTCCTCGTCGTCTTCCTCGTCCTCGGAGTCCGCGACATATGTCCGCTTCATCTTCACCTTTTCGACTGGTAGCGCTTCTTTCATCTTCTCATTTGCCAGGGTGGGTTCCGCAACATTCTGCCCTGCAATATCATCCTTAAGCTCCTCGATAGCCTCTCTCACACCAACAAAATCAAAAACCCGCATGATCTTAACGCGGTCCAAAATCCTTGCTGACAGATCCTCGATCGAAGCTCCAGGTTCTGGGTTGATTGCAGAGTGCAGTGAAGCCGTGAGCCTTGGTCGTTGAGACAGTCGTGCAACAATCATTGCGTACAATCGGACCACATCGAAATTGCCTGTTGTATCAATAACAGCAGCCGCCGAGTTCTCATATTGAAGAAGAGAGTCTATGAGTAGGGTACAGCAGATCTAAAAATATTAGAATACGAACATTCCATTCTCACGGTCTCTCTGGAAAGTGATTTTCGATGACAGTAATATTCATATTACTCACCTGGCTCGCACCCGCTCCAGCTTCTCCGCTGATTCGTACAATCCGCCCACTATGTAGTCCGCCACTCAGTGCATCATCCAAACTCTTGACTCCACTCCGCAGTCGTTTCTTCTCGTCCTTTTCTTTCTTCTCGATACTGACGCTGCACAAGCTCTCTAGCAGCTCACTGAGGTCTTTGTCGTCGATCGAGTGGGATGCGAGTAGCGGCTCTGCAGGTCTTACGCTTTCACTCAACCCATTTGAGGTGATATCAACGGCGGCCATGTTGCTGCTGCTAGCCGCATGGTTGTGAGTTGACTCTGAGGCCAATCGGAACCGAGTTCGGAAAGGAAAGTGCTAGCGCAAGATGGAAGGAGAAGGCGCGCGCCATCTAGGCAACTCATGTAAGTTACACTCGAACTTCGTACGGTATGACTAAATTCAACAAGCGCACGATCTATGAGAGACGTTACGTGACGACAAGTCTTACGTGTTGAGATTCGGAGACATTCTCCTATACTCGGGATTTTGTCTCGCTTCCATCCCAGGGTCACCGACATATACGCACCGCGTACATTGAATTTAACAGTTAGCAAAGTAGGGACGTGTCTATGTTCCTATGTAAACTCCGCAATTTCGCTCGCTCAAATCTTCATAGTACAAATTACCGAGCCCACACCATATCCATCATCTGCTCAACCCAACATCAAGGCATCCACTAGCTTCCAATCAATCCTGACGAGCAACTGACGCCCTAGCCAAGACCATACACATCCCTCAGAGTCGTGGCACCGAAGATCATGCTGGGGGGATACGATGGTGGCTTGCGATCCCAAAAGTCCGCTGTCGATCTTAGTGCTAGTCGGGTGCGGCTGAGAAACATGTCGGCGATGTAAGTCATGTGCCAGGGGCAGCAGCGGCATCCAGGTCCGCGCATCGAAGATTGGGCAGTGGGTTGAGTGGGGGGTTTGGGCGACAGAAACGCGTCAAGGTCGATCCTGGTGGGACATCTCCTGCCCCTGAACATCGAGCAGGTCTAGATGGCGATCAAGGGGGCAAATCAACGGCCTCACACGTGCATGTCTGATTTGCTTCTGAAGCAACGTCTACTAAGATAGCAGATACGGTAGGGCGCAACGGTTTGGTCTTTGTAAATTTCGATTCAAGCTACGGATTTTTCACGCCTTGCATCCCCCAAAAGTGTCGCAAACTTGTTTGTAGAAGCTACACAAAGTAGCCCAATTTCTTCGCATTAAAAGAAAAGTGATTCGACTGAAGAGTTGGAGATCAGTGATTGAAGAAAAAGCCCTTTGTCAAGCATTTTGGAGCGCCATGATTTCTGTTACACATGAGTGGTATCCAGACCTCGTGCTTTCAAGTCCAAACTGCCCCAGCGCCAGACGAAAGGAAAGTGTATGTCCCGAAAGGATGTGTTTGACAATAGGAGAAATAGGCGCTGTCAGCCGTCATCGCTATGGCGCTATGCACGTCGTGTCTTTTTGTGTTTCGAGGTATTTCTGAGATGATGGAGAAAGTGGTCAAGTCGATCCAACCCTGCCTATGTATTCTCAAGCAGGGCGTCGGCGTCCACCTTTCAGAGACTTGACCCGGTTAAGGAATCCACCACTGGGCTTGCCCTCACCAGTGGGAGATCCTACACTATCTGTGGTAATGGATCGTTGCAGCGCAGCGCCTCGAGGTGGCGAAGGTCCGCCCTCGTTGGTCTTGATAGTTGCACCCTTGGCATCATAGGCCTTGTCGTAGTCGTCGCTGAAGAATGGGTTCTGCTCTGTTGCTTTGGTTTGCGAGATGGCTCCAGCGCTGTAAGGACCACTTGGACTGGTGGCAGATCCGTAACGTGCCTCGGGCGAGGTGATGCGAGGACCATCACCATAACGTCGGGGCTGAGAGATGCCGCGGAATCGCTGGGCAATGGATTTCTTGCGGCCCAAACCACCTTCAGCCAGCTGCTTCTGTCGCTGAGCGTCAGACTCCTCCTGGATCGCTTTACGGGATGCCGGGGCACCCTCGAGAAAAGTGGATGTTCCAAGACCGTGGGTCTGCTCGCCGTGCACAATGTCTTCTCGGCCCTTTGCACTGAACTCTGCAGCCACTGGAGCAGGCTTCTTCCACTCGGTTTCGGCACCGGCAAAGTCGGTGAAGCCCTCAGCACCTCTTCCATGGATCCTGTCTAGATCAATCTTGGTGTTAAGCGGTCCGGAGCCACCTAGAGTATTGTTGGCCGAACCGACAGGGAAGGCATGCATAGGTGCGCGCTGGTCCTTCTTACGGTTCCGGTGGGGCTGCACAGCATCGTATGGTCCATCGTGGTGGATCATGCTAGGTCCGTAGATGCCAGTCACATCGAGTTTGTCGATGAGATCAAGACCTTGTGGCCTGCGGACACGCTTTCCGTTCTTATCTTTACCATCTTTGGCACGCTCTTCGCGCTCTTTGCGACGCTCCCTGCGCCTGCGCTCCTCACGCGGATCCAACGAGCCTCGGTCGATGATGGAGGATTCAGAGTTGCGTCGAGGACGGCGGTTCTCACGACGTTCGGGACTGCTCAGGTGGGGAGGACGCGAAGAACTGGGAGGGCCGCGTGGTCGAGAGCCGCCACGAGAAGCTTCACGCATGCGCTCGGCGCGCCTCTCCTCTTCGGAGCGAGATGGGCGGTGGCCTGCACGGGGATCTGTGCCGCTCCGGGCAGGAGCCGGGCGTGGTGGGGGAGCTCGCTTCTTGTCGCTGTCATCGATGGTGAGGTTGGCCTGAGTAAGAGCAGGGTAGTCAGCAAACTGCATCACGAAGCGCCTGAAGCGGTCCATGTTTGGTGGCTCAATGGCGGCTAGGGATTGTACCGTATTTAATACAGCGGAGGAATGATGTGGCTTGTACGACGTGACGACGTCGGTACCCGTCGCGTCACAGGCAATTGGGGTGCAAGGGGAGGTGAACATACAAAGAGCTCTTCGGCGGCAAAGCCAAAGGTTGATTTCTTGGGAGATTCCTTCATGGTGGCAGACATGTCAACGAGGTCTCGGGATGCCTCCTTGTTAAATTCGGCCTCGAAGGTAGATATAAAGGGATTGCGCGACATTGGTCTGCTGCCCGAGCTCGAGCGGTTGGCACTGGCGGGCGAGGGGAAGGCGGGTGAAGCAGCTCTGCGGAAGGGGTTGTTGGAGGAGAGGTTGAGCTGCAGGCCTGGCGAGGGTCGCCTCTCTGTAGATAAGCAATATGATCAGCGGCGCGTCCGATTTCGTCACAGGCAGCGGTTTCGGTGAAACAGGCCATTTCAGGAGCCTTACCTGGCATTGACGGCTCTGCAAACATGATGCCGTCCGCTACTCACAACCCTGCTGGGCGGCCCAATCAAACACTGGCGCCGCGGGAGACGACAGGCGTGCTTTGTGCAATTGTTGGCTGGTGACGCACTGGGGACAATCCTGTTCCGGCGCACCTCGCGTAGAGCAGAAGCAGCAAAAGGGGCGGCAGCAGATTTTCCCAAGACTGGCGGTGGTACCGATGCTCTGCTGTGTTTCGTGCTGAGGATAGACGGGCCCTGTTGGCGGGCAGACGACAGGCGGGCGGGGCGCGTGTTTGATGGCTCGTGTTTGAGGCCCGTTAGTAGTCTATGCAACGCCTAGTGAATACAAGACAGCAATGCGCGGGTAGTGGTGGTGGTGAAGGTGGTGGTGGTGATGGCGAGGTGGTGAGGGAGAAGGAAAGCAAAAAAGCAGGTGGTGCAGATGGCAGAGGATCAAGTGGCAGAGTCAGGAGGAGGCAGGAGGTGGTAGTAGGAGTGCCTGAGCTATAGACCGTCGAGGGCAAGAGCGGCCTAGTTGGGGCTTTTAGAGGCGGGATTAGAGGCAGAGCTTAGCTGGGCCTCGTGTTTACCGCAAGACACCGACCGTGGGTGCGTGGTTCCGTGGCACCGTCCGGCTGTGATTCGAGCGCCCGATCACGAGCTTCCTAAACCGCAGCCACTTTGGCCGGAAAAGACTGTCTAGACGGTAAATCAGGGTGCTAATCCGCTGTGCCTGTGGGGTCGGGGCCCGAGCTGCACTCAGTGCACTGCTGCATGGCAACGCATGGGACAACAAACCTCTGGATATGCACTTGCTGTTTGGCTGAATCGCAGCCTCTGCGATGGCTTTTGATCGCGTCTAGTGCTGCTCTGCCTGCCCAGCTACGGTGCGCGCCCATTGAAACCCCCTCAACCACTCCCGAAACACAACCTGTCGTTTGACACGACCGCAGACTTGACTCGATTCCTCTACACAAGCTCCTCAACCCTGCTGTCCTTGCACCCGTTTGTGCAAGTGCGCGATCCTTAGCCCGCCTCACATACCCAACTGGATTAGCTGCCGACTCTGCGCAACCTGGGAATTGCGGGGAAGACCCTGAACTGCTTTTCTTCAGCCTCAGTGTGACCTGCAAGCGCCGCTCCCATACCGACTATCCACCGTCAGCTGTCAAACTCGCCAGCCATGGCTCACGAGACGACCCAAGATGCCCCGGGCGTGGGAGGCTACTCGCGCTTTGAGCTCGAGCTCGAGGTCCGCAATTCCCCTATACTGCGTCGTCATTAGCCCCTGTTTGACCTTCATTAACACACGCCTAGTTTGTCCAGTGCCTTGCCAATCCCGTCTATCTCAACTACCTGGCCCAGCAGAAGACGCTCGACAAGCCCGAATTCGTCGCCTACCTCGGCTACCTGCAGTACTTCAAAGACCCAAAGTACATCAGATTCCTCCAGTACGTCCACCGCCCATCTCACCGCCTGCTTACTGATCGCGTCGCTTCAGTCACCCTGGCCCCACGCTGCGTGCGCTAGAATGGCTGCAGCAGGAGCGTTTCCGGCAGGACATTCTAGCCCCGGGTCTCATGGACAGGCTCGTCATAGAGGGCCAGCGCAACGCAGTCCCAGTGAAGAAAGACTAATTCCCAACACCATCGAGGTCTACTCGCACGTGGCTTGGTAAAGTTGAGACATCGTCGATCACTGTGGGTTAGCTTCGTCACTATGCAACGTCTCCCTCGACTTTGTCGTCTTCAGTCCGACAAGTGGGCAGTTGAGAAGCACGAGGCAAGTTTGGTTCAATAGACTCGAGCTCGTTCCATCACTCGCACTCGCACCCGCACGCGCATGCGACTTTCCGTGGGTCGCCATTGGCATTCAGCCTAAGATTCTGCATCGTGAAGTTAATCCTTCTGTTCCCGTTCTTAGCGAGCGTAGTGTGGAGATGGAATTAGAAAGTCACTACGCACTAGGCTATCAGATATGCTAGACACCATCGTCCGATGCTACACAGTACTGTGCCTCGATCGTATTCGTGTCATGCAGTTACGTGACGTCGTGATCTATTATCGTTCCCTCTAGCAACCAGATGCAACACAGACAACGGACCCTGACCCTGACTCAACAACGCGTTTACAAGCGGCATCCTAGCAAACACGTCGGATGCACTACCATGCGTATCTTCCAAGCGTTCCGTGATACCTAGGGTGAGCTCGAGCGTCCCATGTACCACGTGACGTCTCGGTCGGCTCGAATTGCCCCGCAGCGTGCTATTGCATCACAGCGCAGAGCTACCAACAGGGTGCTTGGACGTTGCCGACACAGTACTCACACTGCTCTCTGCAATATTCCACTATGCGCTCCGTATCCGAAGCTGAGTGAGCTATCATTGTACGTCTATGTGATTCCAATTCTAACCTTGCACAGAAAGCACTGGCGGCAGCTCGACGACTTCCACTCCCTGACCGACCTCAAGATTCACGTCTCTGCGCACAAAGAACCCCAGATCACCGCAGGACTCCGGTCCGTTTGTTGGAAGGTACCATTCACTGCGCCTTTCCTCTCCCTTCAACGCTCATGGCAAGATTAGATCTTCCTCGTTTTCAAAACGCTTGATCGCTCGTCGTGGCCTACCCACCTCAGCCATGCGCGCAAGACGTATAACTCTCTGCGATCACACTACCTCCGTGCCATACGAAACCCAGACGAATTCGAGTCCTCGGTCGACCCATTGAGCGAACTATCAGAGGTGTGTACACCTGCGACAGGCCGACGCCGCCATCAGACATATCGCTTATTGACAAGTACTAAGTGTTAAAAGTCACCATGGGTAGCCCTCCGTGCCGACGAAGAACTCCGTGCCGAGATATTCCAGGATATTGAGCGATGCATGCCGGACAATGTGTATTTCCGCCAGCCTGCCACTCAGAACATGATGCTGGATATACTGTTTGTTTGGTGCAAAATGCATCCTGATATAGGATATCGCCAAGGCATGCACGAGATACTCGCGCCTTTGCTGTGGGTTGTGGAAAGAGATGCGATAGACGCGACCGGTGGGAACACTGCCGCAATGGATCACAGTCTCGCCGAGATGTTGGACTCGGAGTACATTGAGCATGATACGCACATGCTCTTCTCCATCATCATGCAAACAGCAAAATCATTCTACGCGCCGGCTGAAACTGGATCTACAACCAAGGATACACCAATGCTTGCACGAAGCTCTAGGATATTTGAAGGCAGCTTACCAAAGGTAGACCCAGAACTGCATACCCACCTCGTAAAGCTGGAGATCGTGCCTCAGATATTCCTTCTGTAAGCTACCACATGCATCTGTACTTGACTAGTCTAACATGAAATAGACGCTGGATACGCCTTCTGTTCGGACGAGAGTTCTCACTCGATGCTGTCTTCGACATGTGGGACGCACTCTTTGCGATAGACTCTACGCTAGAGCTCGTTGACATGATTTCAATAGCTATGCTGTTGCGTATACGATGGGAGCTGATGGCAGCTGACACAAATGAAGCATTTGCACTTCTACTGAGATATCCCGAACCAGCTACTCCCCCATATACGTTCATAAAGGACGCGTTGTACCTTCGCGATCACCTTACTCCACCTGGTGGCGCAGAAATCATCACGCGATATGGCAAGCAAGCACCTATCATTGAGCCCGAGCCAAAATTCAACGCCCGCGAACCGTCGCCATCGCCTTCATTCATTTCCAATCGAACGCGCCAAAGCATCGGGTCACCAAGGAGTTTTGTGACCCAACAGGGCGCTGGTTTCGAGGCCTTGATACAAGGTGCTGCCAAAAATGTGCTAGATCGTGGTTCGCAGTGGGGTGTAGGGAAAGCCTTACGGGATGCAGTAGGTGAAGTGAGGAAGAACGTCGAAGCTTACCAGTCAGCGACAAACTCCGGCCAGTCGACACCACGCTCTGGAGGGAGAGAGTTCCGAAAGCCCGGTCAACCGAGTACAGCCGCTGCCAGCGGGCGACCAACCCTTGAAAGGGTACATTCAGCCAACACTTTCAAGAAGATGGAAGAGCTGGATCGCAGGAACAAGAGCCTAGCTAAGATGTTAGAAGTTGCCGTCGGAGATTTGTGGGAGTATCACAGGGAGCGTGATGAGGCACAAAAAGCAAAAGAAGATGATGAAAAGGGGAAAGAAGCAATGGAAGCCCTTAGCCTTGCGATCGCGAAAGTGCAGTTCGTTCAAGTCTATCTTGATGACTCTTCCTTGCCACTTCCTGTCGATGAAGCAACGGAACAAGCTTCAACTGCACAAGCCGCAATCAGCTTGGCTTCTCCGACTCCTCAATCTCCGATGTCGTCGGGGCAAGCCTCCAGTGTTCCACCTCTGTCTTTGAGCACGACATCTCAGTCGACCACTCCATTGAGAGCCAACTCTAGGAACCCTACCCCGCTAAGCTCCCGCCCCACATCACCGCCGGCCCGCACATTATCTCCCCCGTCAAAGCTCGCTTCGACTCTTTCTCCCCCGTCACGGCCGCATCTTACATCCTCAAATTTTTCCTGGATGCTTGGTGAAGACTCGGCATCCTCAAACTTCGCCTCCGGTGCTGCGCACTCAACCTTCTCATCTGATGAGAAGAGACGTATGAAGGGCAAAGGCTTTCTGTTTGGAGACGATGACGATGATGAGGGTAGCATCAAGGATGGAAAGAGAGGGAATGTGAATAACAAAAGTGGGGTTAAGGGCGGCAAGAATGCGAAAGGGAAGCACACGGTAGAGAATGAGGTGGAAGAGGAGGTGATCGATCTTGCCAACATGGGGAAAAGAGGCGTGATTTGAACGTATCCCACGCATCGAAGCTGAGTGCCCTAGGCGCATGAACAGCCTTGAAGGCTGCGCAACAGATTCGGTATTTCAATATGTCTGGCCACTTACATTGGATGCTCAGAATACGGCTATTCCATCATGCCATATCGTCGCCACATGTAAAGCCACAACTCGACGACTTCGCTGGCAAACAAGAGAAAGTACACAGGACATGATAACG